TGTGTTGTCGCATAATTTTTGTTCACCGATTGCTTGTGGTGTACTCATGTAAGGGCTGCCATTGCCAAGTAAAGGTACAGCTCGGGCCCTGAGAATCAGACTGGCTCACACTGAAAGCTGAACAAACTTTTGTGCCGGGTTGGAGTCTCACTGCTGTAGCCCTTCTGCCTCCAGAACCTCGTCTGGAATGGATGTGGTCCTGACATGCTTTTTTTCCCCCTCCAGTCTCTAGAATGAACCTTGTCAATAGTGACTAGAAAACAGGCCTCTTGCCACCCCCCTCTCAGTTCATTCGAATTACCTATTGATTCCTCAAAAAATTTTGTGTTTCAATATAAAGACTTTGTAACTGTGGCTGCCTTAATCTGAGCTTGATTGCAAACAGACATGAATTATGCCTCATTTATAAAATGAACAAATGTAGCTGGAGCCCTTCAAGCCCTGCTGTGAGTCAAAGGCTTAACTGGGCTTCATAAGTAATTTTTTATTATTATTTTAGCTATGGTTAAGATGATAGTCTGTGCACTCAGTGCTAACTGCCATGCTTTTTAAATGCTTTGGGGTACACTCTGGTCCATCTCCCTTCATACTGCTTTAACTGGTCCTTCATTTAAAAAAAAAAATGTTTTTTGGCGTGTAGACACTAGTTGTAGAAGCAGAAACATCCTCACAACAGCAGCAGTGGAGCCAGTTAACATATCTGTTTTTGATGATAATACTTCAGCTATTAATATTTTACAGAAACTAATGACAGCCTTCCTCAGGACATCACGCCAACGAGTAATAGAAAGGCGTCCTAGATAGGATGAGGTCTCGTGAACCGTGGCCATAAACAAGGCTGTATTTTAGAGGTTCACTGTCTTCCAGCTTGCACCAAGTCTGGTTTCTAGTAAACTTCATAAAAGAGCACCCAAGTTCAGATCCCGAGAAGTTAGGGGCTGGAAGGGACCTCACGAGATCATTGGGTCCGGCACTTGGGCAGAAGAGGCTGCTGGCGTCAGATGGGCCCAGCAAGGTTGTCCAGCAAGGTTTTGCATGCCTTTTGCCTCAGCAGAAATACTTTGCTTAAAAAAAAAAAAAAGTGGAGGGGGGCGATGGGATCCCCCTACTTCATGGTAGCCCAAAACAATATCAAAAGGACACTTGTATTTATTTTATAAACACACGAGAGGCCCAGTCCTGTCTCCTTGTGAGCCAGGGGTAAAATGTGGGACTTGCAGTGTGCCTTGAAGGTTAATGAACTTGGACTTCCTGTGGTGCAAGAGAAGCAGGAGGCTCCGAAGCCCATGAATGCTAGTGGAAAATGCCATGTCAGCAGCCCCCGTTACAGGTGTGTTCAAAGTTTGCTGGTAGCTTGGCCAGCTCTAAACTCACCCTGGGGTTTTGTGCGCTGTCACTGGTGATAGCGGGACTGCAGCCAAGTGAGGGTATCTGCCAAACCCACACAGCCTAAATATTCCTGATTAAGCCTTCTGGTGACAGATGTGCCACCCCATTACACTTAGATAAATCGTTTGGTACGTGTGTAACTCAGATAATGGAGCTGCCTTCATTTACATTGGTGCATAATAAGGGAAGTTGTTTTTCTGCTGTGTTGGGCACTGGTGAGACCTCACCTGGAGTTGTGTCCAGCTTTGGATGGGCCCCACACTTCAAGGAAGATGGGGACAGATTGGAAAGAGCCCAGCAGAGAGTGACAACAATTATTAGAGGCCCGGGAAGCAAGACTTAATGAGGAAAGGCTGAAAGAACTAGGGTTATTTAGTTTGGAGAAGAGAAGACGGTGGTGGGGGGACAGCGGCTAGACTAGATGACCTCAGGAGGTCCCCTCCAGCCCTACTTTCCTGTGACCCTATAACATTTCTGGTGACAGGTTGGGGGTATCTGTGGTCCAGGGGAGAGAAACTTTTTTTTTTTTTTTTTTTTTTTTTTTTTTTTTTAATGCTTGCAACCTGAACAAATATGATATGGAGTCAGTGAGGTGAAACGAATACGGCAATGTATGATGCCAACATTAAAGAGACGCTGGTTTAAGGCAGACGTATCTTTTTGGGATCATTGAGGATATTCCCCAATTCGGGTAACAAGAGCCAGCCACTGAATGAGGCCAAGAACTGCCTCCCTCCTGGAACTGGCACTACCAAACAGATGGAGGGCTCTTCAATATGGGGCGTTTTCACTCAAAGACCAAAGTATTCGACACAACCATCTTTTGACCTTCAATACGCTGACCACTGCACCATCCTTGTGCCACTGAGGGAAACCTCTGGACCACGCTAGATCTCCTTGCAGAAGCCTACTAATCTTTGGGCCTCTCGTATAACATTGAGAAGACTAAAGTGCTCTACGAGCCCTCTCCAGGTCATGCATGTCACTCCCCACAAAAAAGAGAGAAACCATGGAGGGAAAGACCCTGGTCAAGCGCTTCCCTTGTCTCCATAGCCACCTCTCAAAGAGTGAACATTGAGGAGATCCAGAACATTGAGGATCTGGTGTGCAAGGGCCTCCTTCAGAAAATTGCTTCTCCATGTTGCTATTGATCACACTCTCCAGAAAGACTCCAAGATCCAGATCTGCAACACGGGCATTCCCGCTCTCCTCTGCAGATGTGTGAAGCACGGGTGACCACCATTGTCATCTTCAGAGCCTGGAGAGGTATTACCAGTGATGCCTCCGGAAAATGCTCCGCACCAAATGGGAAGGTCGCCACACAAACGCCAGCATCCTTGCTGAAGCTAATGTTACCAACCTTGAGCGGGTGGTCCTCGAACACCGGCTTTGCTGGACTGGCCTCTGTGTGTGGGTGGGTGGGTGGGTGGGTGGGTGGGTGCCCGACACGACTGCAGAACAAGTGCTCTGCTCCCAGCTTAGCTGGAGCCTGAGATCTGGTGGTGGTCAGAGGAAATGCTAGAAGGGGACCTCAAGAAAATGGGCGCTGACATCGAAAGCTGGGAGGAGCTGGCTGCTAACCAACTCCAGTGGTGCTGCGACCTCATCCAAGCAACATCTTGCTTTGAGGTACAGTATTTTGCCCTCAAAGCGGAGAAGAAAGAGCAGAGGAAGAAAAAGAAGACATCCTGGCCTACGGCCTACTATCCACTATGGAAAGACCCGGGACTTCTGTGGACAGTTCTGTGGCTCAAGGGTTGGACTGCGAAGTTGCCTTGAGACCCATCAATGAGCACGGATTCATAGGTTGCGAGGCTGGAAGGGACCTCGCAAGATCATCAGGTCCAGCCCCCTGCACCAGGCACAAAAGAGCTGTGGGTAGAGCGTATCCTCAAACTGAGGGATTGCTGGCAAGTCCGGAATAGTTGCAGGAAGCAGAAACTTGAAAACAAATAAATAAGAGTGGAAGAGTCTCCTTGCAGGCTAGACATGATCTTGTCCTCTCCAATCGTCTTGCAAAGGCTTGCTGCAGGAAGGAGAGTGTTTGCTTTGACTTGGAAGCTGTGTTCAGAGACTGTTAAGCAGAGGTATTAATGCTGGCTGTGTAGAAAATCAAGTCTGTTGACTGACGGCTATTTTTTTTTTTTATCAATTCTCTTTTAGAAAAATATGGTGTTATTCCTAAGAAATGCTTCCCTGAATCTTACACCACGGAGGCCTCCAGAAGGATGAATGAGACTCTGAATCATAAGGTAACGTCTGAAGCGGTGCTAAACCTCTGGTTAGAGCATCAGGCTCCCCATGTCCCTTAACCTGGTCAGAGCATTGAGGAGCTGTCTGGGGTACTTCCTTGTTCCACATGCACCCTGCCTTTTTAAGGATTGACAGGGTAAGGGCAATGGTGCTAAAACACTGGATGGGAAAGAGCACGTCTGTTCACAAATAATGGCTGCTTAACTGGATATTGTGGTCTTGTTTCCAAACTGCAGCTTGAAAACGTTCCCCTTGGCAGTTGTAACGATGGCTTTTAATTCCCTAACTCCCAGAAGAAGAAGTCTAGATATGTGGATAGTCCCCTATGAACGATGTGTCCAGGGAGGACTGGGATTTTTTCTTTCCGTTGTGCCAGGGGCTCTGATCATGCTCGTTGCCGCACAGGGTGACTATAAAACTTAAAAGCATGGATTAAAAAAAGGAAAGATCAGCAGGAACCAGCTT